CGCTCTAAACCGTGATTTTGCTAACCCTTATCAACCTGAAAATATACGACATTTGACCAGGAACAGTTATAGATTTCGAATGTCAGTGTATTCTCATCAGTCGTTAGTATCTTTCCGAAAATATTACTGAATTCTCATCGGACATTAGTTGTTTTGTGAAAATATTATCTTACTTCGACGGTCCAACAATTCAGTGTCTGACAAAGCTAGCTAGCTTCTCGGTAATTGTAAGTACTTCGACTTCAGGTTAACTCGCTGGGTATCAAGGAGACTTTGAACTAGAACGATTTGGGTTGTTTGTAAGTTAGTGAAATTTTTGTTTTATAAAACTTTGCTTGTGGTAACTATTCGTAATAATTGTTGTTGTAAATTGAACTGTTGTATTGTATATATATATATATATATTAAAACGTATTTATGTGAAAAACGAAGATGGTGTATGTCAATCTTGTTGGCAAATAGCGTAAATTAACTAAAATATCGGCTTCAGACTCTTTTAAGTTCTCAATACGTGCCCCTCAGTGGCACAGCGGTATGTCTGCGGACTTACAACGCTAGAAACCGGGTTTCGATACCCGTGGTGGGCAGAGCACAGATAGCCCATTGAGTAGCTTTGTGCTTAACTACAAACAAATCTCAATACGTAACACCTTCTACATGAAATCAGTTTATAAAGAGTGTTTATATGAATTCACATAAAACAATGTCTGAAATTCCCAATGTTATTAGATTTATCTCCACAGTATCCACTTTTATAAAACACATGTAATACGCCTAGTAGGATCATCCGCCTATAGAACCACTATCTTTAGCAAAACCATCCGCCTACAGAACCTTGGTAACACAATCCACCAATAGTAACAGGCCTTTTGGTGTCAGACTCTGATATCACTTCTTCCTAAAACATTAGCACCCTCTGGTGTCATTTAGTGTAACTATGACGTCATCTATAGCAACGTACCCACTAGTGCATATTACGTAACCGTTATTTAACCCTCAATCAGCATCCTTTGGGCGATGAAATATTGCTCTAACTACTAGATACAGATGATCTAAGGTAAATGTTACTGTTCAAGTGTTAAGTCGAACAGTGGTACAGTACCAATAGTATAGCCAAGAACTAATGTTGTGTTGCTCCAGTGGTGGAAGTGATGACGTACCTACTATTTGAAAAATCGAAATATTCAGTAACTTTTTACTTATAACATAAGGTCAGAAAAACAAAGCATATAATTTGTTTGGAGTAATATATATATGTGCATTCAAGTGAATTAAACATGTAAATCTTAGGCTTATTTGTAATAAGGCAAAAACAAACAAAATGTGATAAGATAAACAAAGATTATAAATTTTTCATTTTTTTTCTTTGTATACGTAATATAATCGTTCTCAAATGTGTACAAACAGAAAAGTTACGTTCGTCTCCAAACCAATAATCACTCAAACGAATTGGAAACGCGATGGATTACGTTTGATCATTTATTCAAAACAACATTTCCCTATCATTTTTAACAAACACTCACACAAATCAAACTAATTGAACTTCAGGGCACCTCCTTAATATAACGTTAGTTTGGAAATGAACTCTCAGCATGAGGTTCTGTTAAACGATCTTTTATAACTTAATTAAATGACTCTGAGACGTCGTACATCCTCACTCCCAATATGCTTACGTACTTTGCGTTGTGAAGTTTCTGAGGAAATAAAATGCGGCGAATTTTCTCTATACACTGTACCAGGCAAGGTTCCCGCAGAACATCCAAACAGCATGATACACTGGTACCGAAATAGACATGTCATCGATCGGAGATTTTATGTGAAGTCTACGTGGAAACTCTCTTATATAGCATGAGATTTTTGAATGCATATTTTATCAGTAAATATCGAACGAAATGCAGTTATAAATATCGCGAAAACTTTCTAAAATTATATATATTTTTAGCAATTAGAAAAAATCTTGTGAATTATCAACAGTCGCATATGTTTATTACTGCGTAATGTATATTTATATATATGTTACAGCGTTAATTAGTTTCAATGAACGGTTATAACATTCTTTAATTAAGTCGCTTTATCTCTCTTCACATATAATCTACACCTAATTTATATATGTACACACACAGATTATATAAATGATTTTTAAACAGAAGTTAAAATACTTTTTGTCAGAATTTCAAAGACACAGTCCACCTCTAGGTTATCAACCTTGTGAATTTTAATGACACAGTCCACTTCTAGAGTATCAACCTTGTGGATTTCAATGACACAGTCCACTTCTGGATTATCAACCTTGTGAATTTCAATGACACAGTCCACTTCTAGATTATCAACTTTGTGAGATGATGATTTCTTGCTGTTTCTCTGTAATGTGATTTTGAAATAGTTTTTTGATGTTCTGATACGATTGTGAGATGATGAATTATTTCGTTATTCTGTGATATGATTATTTCAGCTTGAGCAAAGATTAGAAATCGAGATTTAAGAAGTGGCAAAAGAGTTAAGCCACAAAAATGAAATGTATTACTACTCACTTCTGGTCAAAGTAAGCTACCTACGTATACCAACTACAAAAAAGAAAAGAAAAATTAAGTCGGTAAATAGTTGATTTAATATATTGGTCTAACTAAAAGCATGCAATGTCATAAAAACAACAACTTATAATTACTGGGCTGCATTGATTCAGCAGCTAAGTACCATTACTATTATCGATTTTTTTAGGCGTAATATGTTAGAGCGAATATCGTACTGTTGTAATAGTTTCTCTCATTGGATAGGTTATTTTTGATAATTCGGTAAAAAGAAAGCAAAGTTGAGTTCACTTAACGAAAAGAAAAGCGAATAACTTCTTCAACTGGAAATTTTATACGGTTTCACGAACTAAAGATAACCAAGCGATTGAAATAACTCACAGATAAAACGTACAGTCACTTAATAGTTAAATTTCCTTTTGTATTTACGACACAACTCAAAACTAGATTACTAACATGTTAACAGATTCATTAAGTAATCATCTAGATGAATGACTCACTCACTGATTAACTCTGTAACTCATTTTATTGCTTTTATATAATATTCCCCTAAATCTCATAAAAAGTATAGACTTTACATCAGGTTTACGCGTTCAAGAAATTTCTAGGCGTCAGCGTCATCATTACGTAATGCCAAAACTCCTTCTAAAAAATAATAAATATTAAGATATTTAAAACATAGCCCACAACAGTACCATCACGTTTCATAAAACAGAAAGTAAGCTTAATTCAGAAAATTTATTATTATTATTATTTTAACAGACATTCCAACTATCTAAGAAGAATCAAAGTGTTCATATTACAATAACAATTGCTATGGTGCGTAGGCCGTTTACAAGTCTGCAAAGAATGATTACAGTTACATTTTGTAATAAGATACTGGTATTAGGCCTAATACATTTTTAAACACTACATTATCAATATGGCTCCTTAGGGAAAAGCACAAATAGCCCACTGTGTAGGCACGAAAAAGTAAGTCTAATACAAGTAAAAAAATAAAAAAAAACAACTAATTTACAAATTAATAAATTATGTCCGATTCTATATTTTAAGGTAACAATTAAAAAAAGAAAAGAAAAAAAAAGAGGGGGACAGTAGCACATTGAAGTTGAAATAAAAAAATCACAACAGCTAAATCTATTGACATCTCGTTCTGCCACAGACTGTAGAGACCCAATATGAACCCTTTGGAGGGGGTGGGGGGGTGGCAGCAGCATATTTAAGAACTTACAATGCACAAATAACTTGAATGCTTATGACAATAAAAATCGAGTTTCGATACTCCCGTGGGCAGGGCGCTTATAACCCATTATGTAGCATTGCGTTTAACAACAAAACAAAACAAACAAAACTACATAGGAAGCAACAGTGATAGCACAACCAATCGACAAGTACTAAACCAATAGAAGATAAAATGGAATAAGTCTACCGACATTATGACAAAAACTGCCAATCCGAAAACTAGGCAACACATATGAAAAAGGTATAGAATTTAGGCAAGTTAAGTGACATCTCTTATTCTTTAATTGTCAAGTTATTATAGAATTATTAAACACAATTTAAAATATTTCTTTAACAAATATAAAAAGACCAACTGAACACAGCTTTAGGTAGAGTTACAGCAAACTTTTTCAGGTGTTTTGATTCATTTAATTTTTCCTTCGTTATTTCTTTTCAATCACGTTAGGAAAAACAATTGCAAAATAATTATGTATTTGGAAAATATTTTGAATAAAAACACACTAAAATATTTATACGCTTTTATTTTGAGAATTGTTCTGACGTCCTTTTTTATCTTCCGTCAGTTTAATTACTATATCAAACGTGACAAACACAAATGATGAGAAACTGAATTACGATAATTCAAGTTCAGTCGTGCTTTCGTTTTCATTTTGAATTTATCTATTTGGCGTATATTTATAACGACAAAACTGTTGAAAATATTTAAAACTATACATTGTTCAGATATAACGCAAAATATTAGAATTTTGTGAGAAAGAATTATAAATCATACCCTTCATTAAAACATTCAATAGTACCAATAGATATTTTAAGAAAGTACGTAGAATTTAATTGTATTTGTTCAAAAGAAATAAAAAAGGTGGTGTTAAAGTTAGGTAGAAGAAAATATTTCAAGATACTTTGACGAGATTTGATGCTTTTTGTCTTTGGTATATCTTTTCATATTAATTTTTTAGTTCATCGTATATTGTTTTTTACACATCTCATTTGCATTCTAAAAAATCGCTGGATATTATGAATTTGAACTTCTGAACGAAAAAGAAAAGGTGATAGTTCCAAACATACTATTAAGATCTATGTTAGTATGGTACTAACAGCAAGAATCCCGAGTCACGTGCTTTTCTTTAAACGACACTGAACCATCCAATCACGAATCGTCGTTTTCCAGCAGCGACACAAGTGTTCAGATTTCTCGTATTTAAGTTGTGTAACGAAGGAGAGACTCTATGGGTTAGATGATAGATGTGTGAAGATATTTTTGTCATAAACGTTACATGTCAATATCACTTGAATTGCAAGTGTTCATGAAATCGTTGTGCGAGAGTTTTATTTTGGTTTTATAACTTACCGAAGAATTACGGTTTTGGTAAACCTAACAATGTCCAGTGTTAGCATCAGAACAAAATTAACATTTATTTCAGTGTTTTTGATTTTGAATTTACCTGCAAGCTCGGCTCTTGCAGAACAAGCAAGGGTTAACACTGAAAGCGTTCATGAAGAAACCCCACGAAATATAGACCACCTTTCAAAAACCAACCCAACAGTTTCGCCGGTGTTTCACACTAGTTCGTCGGGAATCGCTAACCGACGTGAACAAGGAAATTCTATCGAGGAAGACACCAAAAATCATGAAAATCATCGTTATCACGTGGCCACAGTTGACTTTCCACACGTTTCTATCCCTTATATCATTAGCGCATGGATCTTAATCGCTGGATTAGCGAAAATTGGTGAGTTATGCTTGTACTTTGTTTCTGTTGAATGATCTTCCCCCCAAAAAATAACAACAACAACATCCAATAAGAAAGCCCTTGATTTTGATTGCTGTTCTTTTCGTGTATTTTTCTGCATCATTACAACTTACAAGCACAACGAATTTTGTTGTGCCATGAAAAACACCCTTATTTAATACTATAAGCAGTTGAAAATAAATGGTCATGTAACTTAAGTAAACTGACCACCAGTGACTTTTTTTTTCTTCTTATGTTTTAAAAGGAAATCGTTTACTGTCGAAATTTCCAAAATTATCGATTTCCTTTCTCGTAGGGCTAGGAACTTGACCCCTCCAGCTTTATAAGTATTTTCTTACATTAAAATTTTTACCTGTTTCACATTTTGAATCCAAGTAATCCAACATGGAATTTTTAAGAACTTAGATTTATTAGTATACTTGTATGTAAAATATATATCTAGTTATAGAATTTAGCTCCTCTATTATAATATCGTAGCTACCTACATCCGTGTTCCACGTCACATAGATAAGACGTTGTGAAACATTCTTTTGTAGAAATGAAGTGAAAGCAGTTGTTGCAGTTTAGAGATGAAATAGCTTAATTCTCACTCAAGTTTCAAAAATACATTAGTTATTATGGTTTTTGCTTCCGAGTCTTGCCTGTTTCAAGTAATATAACATTTCCAAAGCCACCCGAAGCTTCTATAGAATGTACTCGAGACAATAGTCAATTGAGATTCGTAAATATGTACTACTAGCGAGGTGTTTTTGGTGCTTCCTTGTTTGTTTGTTTTTCTTTTTTCATTAGTGTTAACTAAAATTATGAAAACTATACCATATTTTCCTCTAGAAATTTTTGTGGTGTTTCTAAGGTTTGGTTTTAAACGCAAAGTTTCGAGGTTCGGGCCCATAAGCAAGGAAATTTTCGGCGTTTCATTGTCAGTATGATATCGATAATGGTTTTCTCTTTTGATTTTCCAAGACATCAACTGGAGATTCGGGGTACTGTGAAATAGAATTGGGGGTACGGGTCCCATATGCCAGGGCCTAGCGACGCCTCTGGGCGCATGTTTTCGGATTATTCGGTAAAATGATAATGCAAAGTTTATTTAGTTTAGTATATATATATAATACACACGTGCCTAACCATAACGATACTAATATATAAATTCACCATTCCTTTTTTCCCTCTATGTTTTATACTGCTGGGTATTAAATTCATCTATTTTTACTAACAACTTCGTTCGTACAAGTCGAGAGGGTACCGAAGAAAGTCGAGAGTTAAGTTTGTTTTGTCGTTTAGTGCGAAGTTACACAATGACTGTCTGTGCCCACCACGGGTATCAAACTTACCGCTGAGCCGCTGGGAGGCAATATAGATAGGAACAGCGAAAAAAGTTGGTTATCTTTACACAAAACAAAATAAAATTATTCTGTAAGTTTAATTTTAAATTTGTAGTTAAAGCAGTAATTTAGTAAAACTAAAATTGTTTTATAAAATAAAGCACGTGTCCTTTCGTAAGAATTAAAAACGGATTGAAGTATATGGTAAGTGACTGTATGGTTTAATGTAACGCAGATGTAGTTAGTTTCAACTACTGCTTAATTATGATTGCAAGTGCCAAAATCTAACTCATGAATGAATTCCATATGATGTCCTTAGTTTAACAAGTTAAAAAAAATTGATTGAATTTTGATAAAGAAAAACGAGCCCAAATATGCAGAAAGTTAAATTTGTTTATGGTAACCAATGTGCACAATGAATGTAACATTGTTTATGATAGATGTTCAATATATGTGATATTTTCTTACGAATAATGTTGCATTAACGTCCAGCAAATACACCGTCCGAAAGCTTATGCTGAACTATGGCCTTGGCAAAGCAGGATTTCCAACCTATGACCGTGTAATAAGCGTCTAGATAATTAGGGGCTTAGACAGCACTACAGATTTGGGAGGGTGTCATTTTCCAACAAAATAAAAATGTGTACCTGTTCTTTCTACACGAAGTATTGAAGTGATTTGCATGAAAGTTGTTAAGTGTTTGTCTCGAAACAAATAGGAAGATAATGGATGTTTGACTTTTTAAAATATTGGGTGGTTTTTTTCGACCCCCACGGCTCTTGATAATGGCCAACGTCATCTTGCTTTCCTTAAAGAATAAAACGTTTCGCAGAATGTTCAGTTGATCATCTATTTAGGATACTGCCTGCCTTATCACGGGTTTCTTCTTCCATTCTTTGACCACATTATAGAAGAAGGGAGGGGAACTAATACACAAGAAGGGAGGGGAAATTAATTGGACAATAGAAATGGGCTCCTCTTGTTTAAGTGAGTCAGATATTGGCTGAACATTTCACACGTGATTCATTCCATTAGCCCAGTAATTTGACAAAACAGACATTTGCAGAATCTGATACCCATCCGTTACTTACATATGTCGAATAAACAGAACTAGACGTTATCCAATTTATGATATCCACAGATGATCGCCGAATAAATAGAATTACACGTTATCCAATCTAGGATATCCACAGATGATCGAACTCTTCGTAACATTATTATTCTTAAAAAAGACCCAAAGCCACTACATAATCATACAGTGAGATGAACTATACATCATTCATCCTTTGTTCTACAACACTTAAGTGCTGCGTTAAGATTACAAGTCACCAACACTATCCTGCATTAGCAATAATTTAGTTTGTTGAGCTACTTGGCCTATCAGGTGAAAAATATCATGTACGTGTTTTCCCGATACTATTCTGTGCGCTGAACGGAAGAACAACGGAAAGCACAAAAGGAAGTCCCAGTATTGCTACATCGTTTTCCTTATTATAAGATGTGATTAGTATTCTAACACTATTCTCTAAAATAAACAACTCTTGACTGAATGACTTCGTCAACCAAAAGTCATGATAAGGAAGGAAGTATTTTAAACGTCTACCTGTTATATTTTGTCCTACTACAGGGAGTCTACAGATGATTGTACACATTTTGAAACGTACTAACTTTTAAACGAAGGTAGATGAGGCGTGATATGTCTACCTCTCATTGGTTTCTGTAAATTTTTGTAAGCGCTTGTGCTATTTGACAAGCGTTGTACGATCTTAGAGGTCGGTAAATATAAGTACTGTGGCTTGGAGCTCGGTTTTTAGGGTAATTATCACACATGATTAATCCCCCGATACGGCATGACATTGTCCAGTGCCTTTATAAACATCTTACCGGTAATAATCATATCTTCATTCTCCCAGTGACTGTTCTCTCTCGGAAATAGACGGTTCAAACAACACTTAAAGGTTACATCTTACCGGTAATAATCATATCTTCAAACTGACCAAATTCTCCCAGTGACTGTTCTCTCTCGGAAATAGACGGTTCAAACAACACTTAAAGGTTACATCTTACCGGTAATAATCATTTCTTCAAACTGACCAAATTCTCCTAGTGACTGTTCTCTCTCGGAAATAGACGGTTCAAACAACACTTAAAGGTTACATCTTACCGGTAATAATCATTTCTTCAAACTGACCAAATTCTCCTAGTGACTGTTCTCTCTCGGAAATAGACGGTTCAAACAACACTTAAAGGTTTTTAGACTACCATTTCCAGGTCTGTTGTTTAAGAGTTATTACGTTTTAAAATGAGCACAATCATTTATAGACAAATACCACAATCAAAAAGTTTAGTACGCGATTCACGAGGTCTCAAACTTGGAGCAAGAGTAATATAATACATGCAACATAGCTCTGTAACCTTACTTGTGCTATATAATACTGTTCTTTTATGTGTTTTTAACATCTAGCTACATGTAATAATAACGGTAGTTCTGAATGTGAGGTATATCATAAAAATAGATTTACAGATTTATTCTTAAGTAGTTGGATTTTACAGTTTTATTTAAGATAAATTTGGTTAAAATGCCTTCAAGATGGTCCTTTGAGAATAACTTTACACTTTGTTGTAGTTACATACCAGTACGTGTGTTTATTATTTGTTCTACATTTGTTATTTATTTTCAATAAGTTCAGTGTGTTGGGTGAGTGGAAAAAATGCCAATGCAGCAGTAAACTGTCAAAAAATATGTAACATTCAACTGAAGGTATATGCTGCTTAAAATGTATTCTACATAAATTGACATAAAAACTTAAGAAACAAGATTAGAAAGATCTTATCAAAATTTGGAGATTGAAGAATTACCATTTTATCTAATCACAGTATACTTTTGTCGCTAGAGGTTACGTGCCTACCATTTTCTGATTCGTTTGTGTGGCCTTAAATAGTCCATATAGAATATATTTAAATATGGTCGCAACTGTAACGTATTATTGGGTATCTGTAAATAATATAAATCTACAGAGAATCGTTATCTATTGATCTTTTATGTAAATATCAACACACCCACGGTGTTATTAAAATTGGAGTGAAATACGTACTGGAGAAAGAAGAGCTCTCTTATAAAATAAAGATAATTGTACAAGTTTTTGCTTGTAAACCACGAATTTCAATCTCCTCAGTATTCGTACCTTTTTTACATTATTAATAGATATCAAGTGCTAAATAATTTTCAGAGTTAGTAACTTGGTGAATGTGTGGAGAGAATTTATAATTATAGCTAATACTAACAGCAGTTTTCATTCTTGGAGTAGTATTTGTGTCGATGAAGTCAAGGGGAGATGTTTCGTATCATCGTGTATATTTGACTGTAATGGGTAAATACAGAAAATGTAATGTATTGCTCTGTATTAATTTCACGTGACTAAATAGGTTTACTAGAGTACTATTACTTCATGGTTGTTTTTCTTTTAAATGATAAAAAGAAATATTTTGTAGCTGTAATCACGTCGTCCATCGTTAACTAAATCGCAAGTAAATAATGAAAACTGTGTTACAACCTCAACTACAGGCAAAATAACGAATTTTAATTTGAGCCTGGCCGCGGTTAACTTGTGAGCTATAGTGTTGCTCTTTGTTTTGTGTTTATCATTTAACGTT